CCTTTCAAAGCAAGAAAATTGGATAAATATCTAGTTACCACCACCAAAAACAAAGTCCGCCCGCGAAGCTTTCAATCTTGCAAGCTAGCATCAGATGCCAATTCTAGGATAGAAAGCATACCCACAACCGGGAATGGCACAGTTCGCCAATTGGATAGTACTCTACAGGCACCTCAAGTACCTCCCGAGAGATGAATTGAGAACAGGGTTTCCTATGATCAGCTAAACCACTAGAGTTAATTAATTAGATTTATTTTTTGCAAGTACTTAGTCTGTGATGATGGAGCGAATAGCGTGCCCTTGATAGCATTACTAAGATTAGTCTTTGCCATGTTAGGCACAATTTAGAATTGAGTAGCAGTGTACCACAAAAACAAAAACACGGCTCGAGACTAGAGTAATACTAAGAGAAACCCCCTCTCTGACCGGCATAAATGGATATGTATGCAAGTGATAGGCATGCATACATATATGTACGTAACGTACTACCTAAATTTTGTTGAACGGCCGCTAATGTAGTAAAAGTCCCCATGGTTATGGCGCCGGCGGTTGTGGTGTTAGTTATCTCAGAGTATGGAATTGATATCACGGCAAGACTAACACAGCAAATTTACTCAGTGGGTAGCATATCCCGTAGATAGTAGTTTTCATGGAGGTTTTCCATAAGGTATTGTGCGTAGGGGACTATACGACTAAGGTCCGCTTTTTCAACCATTGAAAAACGTTGGATACAACGCTCCTTCTTATACACTGTATACTTTGGGGAGGAACTGAGTTAAAACATTTTTACTCCTAATCATTCCGATAAACGGGCTGTCGTGATGAACAAAGTCGGGAAGCTCATGAAAATTTGTTCATGCAGTCATGAAATATCACCAATATCCACCGATCGGAACTAAGTATTTACTGTACCGAGCGCGAAGCTTCGGACGAGCATTAGGATGTGATGTCTTTTTTTTACTGACGGGGTTGATGTGACACCTTTTCTTTTAATTCTTGAGAATTCGAAATTTGAGGTATTTCTTATCATGGTGTCTTCTAATCACCATTCAGTTGGAAATTGAATGCCATCTCTTCCTGGTGGTGTGACAGGAAGACTTTATACACTCATTCGCATGCTCTGTGACTACCACGAAAACACGCTTTATTTCTGTAGGGCAGTAGATTGTGTCGGGCATCTTAGGGCCCAAGTGCGTGACTGTCGTAAGGGCATAGGGCAGTTTGTAGGGCCGCACAACCCTCCTACTTATAGGAGCTTCTTTGTCCTTTAGACCTTTAGACCTCTTACAGAATACACACCACGTTTTAGACCTCCCTTGACCGCTGCGCCAGTGACCGACCACACGTCACCGTCCCACAATTTCTACCATTCCGCCCCTCTGTTATGCGCTACGTCCGAAGCTTCGCGCTCGGTACAGTATACAGAATGCAAAAACCCACTGTTACGCCACTCCTACAAAACACACCATCTCCTTGGAATTTGGACTCCTGGGACGACATACCCATGGTGCCGCCACAACCACTCGGAAATCACGTTTCGAGGTTATATATATGCTTAAATTGTGTGTGGTATACCCTGGCTGGAATATATAGTTAATAACTCTGCCTATGATCTGCGGCGGGCGAGGTAATGTGTTTGCGTGCATTGACCATGAGGGATTATACATACGCCACCCATAGAATAAGCCTTTTTTTGCGGGGTTTCTGGGAAAACCTTATATCGTCGGCTAAACGCGAGATTTAACGTTATATCGTATTCCCATGATCTCGTCGAAATATCGCACACCCTTGCTCCGGGTAGCTTATATGAAACGTTGACAGTTGATGAAAAATCAAGAGTTTATTCAATATCGATATCGTCGTTAAAAGTCAAAACTCAAGCGTGGCATAATAATCAACGTGTAACCGAGATAACACGAAGGGGACGACGGGTAGCAGGAGCGGAGCGTCGCCATCTAACCGGCTTGCCCGGAGGCGTCGGGGATTAGGGGCCTGTCATACTCTAAGCAGAGTGAATACAGTATGATTAAAACAAACAAAAAACCGAGATAACACAACACTCATACGTCGGAATTGTAAAATGGTTCAGCATATTCGAATTCATTGAATTCATATATAATATAAAATATAAAATTTAGGTACCCACTCTCTATTCGAAAGACTAGCACTGGTCTCTGAAGGTATTGAAGATATTCCCTAATCTTAAAAGTGAATTATTGTAACAGATCAATATCTACACAGTCTGTTAGCTGACTTCTCCAGTTCTATCGTTTTTGTCCAAGCGAGCTTGCGAGTGAGGAGAAAAATTTATGGGCTCAAGAGCATCTCCAATAACAGGTAGTTCACGCATTAATTTTTTAAGGTTTGGCAGCCCACTGCTCTGCGAGTTTTTGTTCCTATCTGCGATCATCGAAAGTCTGCTTGCAAACCGTACGTTACGTGCGCAAATCTCTGGATCGTCATGTTTACAAAGATAAATGGTGATAATTCCTTTTCACTGTCAACGTGAACGTTTACTGTCCAATGCAAACACTGTAAACTTCTCTCCTGACCATATCCAGTGGAGGTAGATAAACTCAGCCGACTATAGCTAGCTTACGAGTAATTGATAAATTTAAGTAATAAATCAGCAAGTTTTTGCAGTGCCAAGCCAAGAATATTATGCATGAAGTACAGTACGGTGTGCATTGTGTTAAGCGTTTTATATTTTAGGTTTTTACCTCATACTCTGAAGATATGTACGATTTCTCGTAACGAACATACCGAACGACAGCGATTTTCTTAAACTATAGGAATAAATACCTGTACTCCATAATCGTTGTGCGCTGTAATCGAACACAGCCATACGTCCGCCCGGAAAACAACGTCACCTGTAAAGAGGGAATTCCGAGTACGAGTACATTAGTGTGTGTAGATTCTCCGTGTGTCTTAATCCTCAAACCCGCCTGTTAACTGTCATAACCACCGTCCCATCCTACAATTATCCCCCTCCGCACTAAGCACCACCTTCCAAGCCTTCCTAGCTGGGATGAAGTTCCTCGTCCTCTTCATCCTCGCCATCAGCACACTCGTAACGTGCATCCCAGCACTTCCCAAAGGCATCCAAACCCATTCCAATGCTTTCGCACTCGCAGCTTTTTCCAAGGCCCTGGAACTCGGTATCGATCCTGCCGGTCAACACCCGTCGGATTACATAGAAGACAACGGAAAAGTTATCACCTTCAAAGCGGGCAGTAAGTTCGCGCTTTGGGTAGCAGCCCAGGGTGCGCGCACAGACAAAGCGGCACTGGAGAAACGAGACTCAGAGATGGTGATTACGTATGTATCCACCCTCCGCCAGAGTGGAGACAGACTGATGGGGATATAGAATGTGGTCTAATGGGGATTGTACAGGTGATGGAGGGTACATCTATAATCCTGACCACGGGACGTATTATTACAAGTATTTGATGGCCCTCTTCGTAGGGCGAGTGCTAAGGCTGATATCATTGGACAGTCCCAATTCGTATGACTACTCGATGCAGATCACGCAAACGGTCAATCCCGATATCGAACGGATATATTTGTGGGGATGGAATGGGCGACATAATGCAGTTTCGGATTACTGCACTTTTGACTACGGCTGGTACGTATATGGTGAACCTGGTTGTGCGCCTTATCTGCCGCCGTATAGTTGTTATATCTTTGAATGGATGTAGGTATACCATGCATCCAAGCTTTTGCATTGAGTATTCTTGCTGGGCGAGGGTGGGGTTTGTTGGAATATTCGAATGATATGTTTGAAGCCGGAATGTTTACCGACAATCCGCTGGGCTAGCAGACGGAACTCCCCAGTCCATTTGATCTCCTACCGCAGTGAAGAAGTTGCTGTAAGGCTCCGATGTTGCGAACGTTGTGACAAATCGGGCCGGAAGTACCAAGTACCGTAGATAGTAATGGCCGGATATCTCCGTAACGCCGGAGTTGATGCCATGCTCCGCACCCGTGATCGGGCAGACTACAAGTAGAGAGTAGCGCATGACGCAGGTTTATAATCTGATTGATCTCATCGATCGAAGCAATCAGGTCACACCTGATCTCTCTTCTACCTTTCCGGGACGTTCTGCTCACACAATTTCTCCATCACCTCGTGTTACAACACGAAGATCATCGCACCTTCGGATTGCTGTGTTGCAATATGCTACATGACCGATGTCATCTGTCATGACGGTGCGGTCGTCGACGTCATCTATTATGACGGTGCGGCCATCTCTGGATGGGCTTATGGTGGCGTAGAACTTCATGACGTCCATGCCTCAGCCTGATGGCATGTCTGCAGGCCTCGGCCTGACATCATGAAGTCCTACGCCACCATAGTATATAAGAGAAGTCATTCTCCACGTAAATAAGATAAGACAACTCTAGAACTCCTAAGTTTAACATGCTGCGACAATCAATGTCGGGTGATCATTCATGACCGGCCGCGGGACCTATATTACTCTGGGTGTGGAAAGTACTGTAAGCGAGGCTCAGTAACGCATTAACCAATCTTGCTCTAAGTTGTACTGTTGTTCATCTAGTATATCCCAGGAAGTCTAACCATGAGCAGCTCCCAAGTGAGCTATTTCCGGATCCGGGCACGCGTACAGTCTTTGAGCTGCAAATAGTTAGTTTTCTCTGGCGTGTAGTGATTATCACCACAGACTGATCTGCAAGCATTATCCATCTCCTGCCACTGCATCTGATGTTTCTGGAACTGGGCACTGCAAAAAGTTATTCATGTTACCTACCGCCCCCGAATCGGCGGACACACGTGTAGTGGATAACCTCTGGTAGCCGATATTGACCCAAGGCCGTAACAAACCTTGTGCATGACGAATCCGAGGCCACAGGAGTCACTGAAAAGCATTTGATTCGCAGTCACTGGTCGTTACATCCAATCTTCTGACCCCCGGATATGGCACACCGGCCACCAGCATTGTGTTCCATAATCCCCCTCCTAAATCGTGCATAGTATAGTTACCCGAATAGCCAAGTGGTGAAGGCGTTGCAACTTATAATGCAAACATCGGGGGTTCAAATCCTCCTTCGGGTATTGCGTCTTGTTTTTGCGCCTGGAGTGGCAGAAGAGTACCCCTTGACTGTAGAGCTTTCAAGGTAAAACTAATGCTATTACTTTCTATGTGGACTAGTTACGTATCTCTGCGTACTTCCAAAATCCGAATGAATGAGGAGTTTTTCATATCTCACTGACCCACTAGGTTCCTTGAGATTCGAGACTAGTCGACTACAGCGATGAACATCTCACTAACGGTACTTCTTACTCTGGATTATTGAATAAAGTAAACAATGTCAGGGTTCTCAAACACAGTTACACGGTCAGCAGTTAATACTTCGAGCGCACCACTTTAGTGTACAGGACAACATGTTTACGTGAATATACCTGAGGCGGAGAGACGAACTCGCTAAGTAGCAACTTTTCAAGAGTCATCCCATTGAAACACAATCATCGACCTCAGGTATATATCAAAAGGATCGCTAGCAGAGGTTTCACGGGTAGGAAATACGTTCAAGCTATTAGTGCGTCTCGAGATTATGTCTTGGTACAAGCTGGCGATTGTTGAATCAGGGCGTTCAAGTGAAGCTGGGTTTCTAGGGTTAGGGGTTTCTGACTGCATTTTTTTCTAACGTTCCGATTGGCGCGGCACTGTATATTAGTCGTTTCGTCCTCGCTTGGGGATTCTGCTTGGAGATTGTGACATTTTTGTCACACTAGCTATTAGATTCTACAGTTTGAGGTTATATGAATTCACATTCACTGGTGAGAAAGCCGTGCTCTCCGTTTTTCTTCGTTTCTGTCAGGGTTCTAGAGCTGAGTTTCTACTACATGTTAGAGCCCGCCAGTGGTGAGCCTCATACCTCGTTTTTGCCACAGGTAGCTTGCGAGCGTACGCGTGGTAGGAGAGAGGCAGGGGACGAAACAAGAGAAGATCGATATAGTCTCCGATTTTTTTTCAAACTTGTTTAATTACCCCAAGAAATCTCAGCATGGTAAACAAATACGATTCATTCCCGATTATGTTATCGAGGATCCGGAAATGAAATACCCTCACCCCAATTGATTACCACATCCCAAATTGACACATCAAAAACCACCTCAACTCGAGGAAAAAAATTAACTAAAGCACTGAACGAAATCGTGAACTTTGATCTAGAGTCGTGACGGTAGGTATGACGGATTTAGGGGTATGACGGATATCACTGGTTTTGCGGTTGCAACAGGGGTTCCTGTAGTTGTTGATCACCGAATCCCACACTGGATAATGATATTCGTCATACCCCTAAATCCGTCATACCTACCGTCGCGACTCTAACTAAAACCCTATTACCCGATTGGAACCCTCTAGCCTGATCACTGAGTAGAGCACATGTCATGGGTATGGAACCTCAGGCGGCGGGGACTATGGGCAGCATTCCCGAATGACCCTAGCCGCTGTTTAAGAGATATAGCTGGGATATGCAATGTCAACTATTCAACCACCTCTGCATGTCCATGTTCATACGCAATTGTTGAACCGACTCTTGGTTGAATCGATTGATTGTCTAAGTCTAAGATGACACGTAGTTATATACACTAGAGACCGCAAACCCTAACTCAGCAGCTACATGTAAGGGAAGGCGTCCAATAGGCATGGGGTCTCGGCGGATCATTTTCCAGAAGAAGAAACTTAAGATTCGCTGGTAGGAGTGGTATAGTTGTGTAGGTGTGCGGATTGATAGCACAGAGTTATATAGCCACTGTCGAAGTTCTGCGATATATGGATACAGCCTGAGAGGGTTGTGCTGCATGCGGCTATTCTGCCCAATTGCGTAGCCTCACTTGTATACTACCCCAATCAGCTAGGTCTTAATCAATTGGTTTTAGTAGAACTCTGATGCGAGCATCTATTAACATGCTTGTTGATCAATTGATGACGAGATCAATGAGCAATGAGGCGGTTCTTATTAACTAGAATGGGATCAGTGTCCCGAAGCGGCCAGTCCGGCTTTGAATGATCTGGGCCGGACTATGCCAAGGCCGGCCACAAAATTGTTGACCCAGGCCAGCCGTCGATCTGACAGATTTTGATCTAACCGGACTGCAGATATCTGGCGGCCGGTGATGCTGGGGTTAGAGTCCCCCTGCGCACCTAGTAAATGCATGGCTAAGTAAGAACGACATCTAGACCATGCTCAATTTTAGGTGTCTGCACGGAGGGTGCACTTTTTATGGCCTGATAAAAAAGTCAGAAATACGAAGATATATGAAGATAATATGCAGGTTCATTCAGGTAGCGTAGGTATATACAGACATATGCAGGCCAAACGCAGGTTTATGCAGGCCAAACATCGGTTGGTCAAGACCCTGGCAGATCTGCAGATATCTACAGTCCGGTCCAGGCTTGCTGCAGGTCGATCTTTATCTGCCCAGGCTTTAGGCGGTCTCTATGATCAAGGACTTTATCTGGCCGGACTGCGAATCTATAGTCTGGTCGGCGGCCGGCCGGGCCGCTTCGGAACACTGAATGGGATTCAATTAAACCCTTGAGATTGGAAAACATTGAGGCCCAAAGGATCACCCATGCTAATAGTCACTTCGGTGGCATCCGATTCACCCACAACTTTAGTATTACGGTGAGGAGAGAATTCAATAGTATTTCCATTGTCCGAGTGATATAATGTGACTATTTGTTAACGTAACTGCTTAATTTTGGGAGTACCTTTAAGGCGCCAGATAAGATTTCGTGATGTTTTTGTTACCGCTGCAATTGCTATATCGGATGCTTAAATTCGATCACATTTAAGTCCCAGGCCATCACCTGTCACTCGATAGATTTGAGCGGTTTGGTGTTTGAATTGCATATACCGGCACGATAAGTTCTAGTTCAAGGTACAGGTGGACGAGAGAAGCCATTTTTATCCATTGGTTTAGTTATTTCCATAAACTTTTACGTTGTTCAGACGCACGGCATCCAGTTATTGTTGACGTCACCTATCAGGGCCTAGGGCTTTTACCCTAGCTGCACTCCTACCGTATATTTACTTCTTTGTCTCTTACTTTGTACACTAGAATCAACACACGAGTTTCCACCTCTCAATACGTGAGCACGTCTCAACAGTTATATATGTTAAGATTATGTGCACCGCGGAGTAATGATTTTGAATTACCAGCCGTGCCAGAGAAAAGTTAGCTTATGTTCGCGATCGGCAAGTTGTCCTTGGTCGGAAGCTCACTATGCACGCTGCAAGACTACTGCCCACAAAATCCCAGGCTGCTTGAGCAAAACTTACATTCGTGTGGGAGCAGAATTATTTTATTTTATTTTATGCAAGGCAAACCTTTGCGAGACACACAAAACACTTGGCACCGCACCCATGCATTGTACGAGAAACGTATATATATCCGCCGCGCATCCCCGTTCACGCACACCTCTCACACAAGCAACAATGTCCCTCACCCTGCTCTCCCCCGCTCATACTATCCACCGCCAACAACCTCGAAGACCCCTGCGACCTGAAGTCGCTCCTCCGCATTAACCATCGTTTCTACACTCTCCTCTCCCGCCTCTTCTCCCAGCGCTTCGACCATCTTGCCTCTGGATCAAACAATATCATCGACATCCGAAAGGACGATCTAGTCCACTGGCAAGAGTGCACTGTCAGAAACGACCACAAAATTTGGGAAAAGATTCTGGATTCCCAGACAACAACCTGGCACGAGTATGGTACCATGCACACCAGTTCCTGTCCTGCCGTTCTTTCATCCCTTAAACTCCACCTGGAGCTATGTAATCTGGCCTATCACGGTACACAACACGGTTGGAATCGTCTTGTTCGACCCTTATTACATCGCGGCGTACCCGGGGATGGCACTATCCTTATACCTCCTGAAGCCTGTGACACAATAGAACCATTGTATATTCGAGACACAATTTCAATTCTTGTTGAGGCAGTACGAAGAAACAACATCGAGCTTGTAAAATTCCTGCTCGAAGCTGGCACCGATGTTGACGCTCTGAGTGTTCCTGGTAGCGAGGTTTCCGAGCATTATGATTATGATACATCGTTGCAGGTGGCGTGTAAACACGGTTTCAAGGATATCGTTACTCTCCTGCTCTCTTACGGTGCAGATCCAGGCTATTTTATCCCGGTGAGAATTTTCCGTTGATTCTCGCTATGGAGTCTGGTCGGAAAGATATTGCGGAGCTTCTTTTGGAAACGGTGGTGAGTGCGAATGAGGTGGATATTTTTGAAGCGTACCCGATTCATTTGGCGGTAGAAAAATACGACATTGCAATTATTCGGTTACTTTTGAAGTATGGTGCTAGTGTGGATGAGAGAAATGGAGTTAGAGATACAGCGTTACATCTTGCAGTCACGAAACTCCCCGCCTACAAAAAACAGGGAAAATATAATGGAGAAGCGGTGAGATTGTTGTTAAAAGCCGGGGCGGAAGTGGATCGTTTCAACTACGATGGGTTTGCGCCGATTCATGGTGCGGCAGAGAGTGGTCTGATGGGTGCGGTGCAGCTGTTGGTGGAGTTTGGCGCAAAGACATATTTAAGGGGTGGATATGGCCATCGGGATACACCAGCTACTATGGCGAGAGAGAAGGGGTTTGAGAATGTGGCGGTGTTTTTGGAGGAGTGTGCAGGAGTGGATGCGAGGTTTTGGAATTAATTTGGGCGAGTTGATTACTTGAGATTTGATTTTCAACATATGGGACAAGCATAGCGGAGGTGGTAGCGGCGATTATGCGAGTGGTGGGTGACAAGCAAGATGGCGAGGATTGAAACCAAAGTAAATTGGCAATCGAGTGACGTTTGCTAGTTGCAGAACTATCCGTTGGGAAGATTGCTGCAACGCCAATTCTCCGTTTCTATTGTGTTCACTTTTACACATGTTTGTGTGGCTTGGCTTCTTCACATTTGTGCTGATTTGATCTCGCTATTCTTATTATCGTCGTGATAATTCGGGTCATATGACAAGCCGGTAATGTAGTTTCCATTCGCACGAATTCTCATTCCAGTTGTGGGTCAAATGGATCTCTGTTAT